GGGCGCCCTGTCGGAGCGCTCCGCCTCCGCCGAGAGCTGATGACTGGACACAGAAATGGACAGAACCGCAAGAGAGGTGGGGGAGCAGGGGCACTCTGTTGAGCAGTGGGTACCGTTTTTCATCAACCATGGCATCCAGAATTGCTCTTTAAAATCGCTTTTGGGCCAGGCAAGCCTTTTGTTCGACCTGGGCGATTCGAGTCCTGACCGATGCTGGGGCCCGATTTTCGCTCGCAGCGATGCCTGCAAGCTCGTCCGGCGCCGTGTTCCCGAGAACCAAGCAGAGCGGATGGTGACCCGAGACAGCCTGAACAGCGGACGAAAGAGAAGGCACCTGGAGCACAAGAGCTTCAGAGAAATCCCGAGCCTCGGCCAGGTGGCCAAACTCGTGCCAAGTCCTGATTTTCTCTCTTCTTGTCAAGGAAGCGTCTGCCGTGTCACCCTGCACTCGCCGACTCGTTGTAGGTCACGCAAATCGTAAAGCCTCTACTTAAACGCACTGCTAGAATCGATGTCATTAATTCACCCCTGGGCACAGTCTGTCTGGGGCCTGGGAAGTGGCCGCGAATCGAAACTCTAACCATGAAAGGATCAAAGCTGTAGACCGAGACGACGCCTACGCCTACCCTCCTAAGAAGGGGGCCCCTGGAGTCCTGACCTCCACTAGAGCCCCCAAGCAAATGTTTGGGCTCTCTCGAGGCCCTGGGCCGGGAGTGCGGGGGCCTAACTCATTGAAAACACTTGGGGAGTCGCGCGGGTTCTGAGGGAGGTGGGGGCGCTTTGGTCCAACTCCCTGGGGCAGCCCCGCGAAGCCAAAAACACGCGTGTGACTCGCGTCGGGCCACCGCTTCCGTTATCAAATTGTCTGATAACTCGTGCGCACGAGACTCGACATTGCAAGTGCAGAGCCACAAGCGACGCAGCGGGGTCTCAGCAACCTCGCCGCACCTCGGGCAGGTCGCTGAATCGATGCCTCCGACCTCGTCCACGACGCGCTGCCGTGGCCAGGTGCCCCCCAGCAGCGATGCGCGCCACCGTTTATGCCAGCTGGTGGCCCCTCTTCGCCCCGTCGAGCACGCGCAAGAAGTGACGGAAGGACATGTTGTCGGCCCCCTCCTGGAAGCCCTCGCCGCAGGAATGGCTGGCGGCGCCAGCCCACTGGTGATCTCTGATCGTGAGCTCGAGATGTCGTCCGCAGGGCCCAACGGGTCGAAGATGAAGGCCTCGCGGTCCAGCTCGCCAGCTGGCCTCGCCCCCCACTCCGACGGCGAAACAGGGCCCCGCCGGTGCTGCAACAAGTATGTCGCATGTGCTGACAAGGGCCCTCGCACGTGACGGGAACGCCGTTGTGCTGGGGGCGCTGAGAGCTTAGCCGCCACTGCTGGCCATGCCCTCGAAGTGCCCGCGCGCAACCTCGGTTCCGACTGCTGCGCGGAGGGCCAGAGCCTGGCCGCGTTGACGGGGGGCCTATCGCCAGGGTCCATGTTGCGGCATCGCAGATCCAACACCGTAGTGAGGCAGCGACCGCGGCGAGCCGAACTGGCCACTTGCCCCGGCTTCCGCCTGCCGTCCAACATGCTGCAACCAGGCACGCCCAGCACCTCATGTCCATAATGGCCAGCTGGTTGCGCCCCGCACTGTTCGAGGCGAACTGCAGGGCGACACCTCCTCGGTGCCCGCGCGAAGCGAGCCATCTTGGAAGACGTGGGCCCAGCATTGACTACTCGCTTCCTCGCAGCGGCTCGAGCTTGGCGCCCCGCCCCAACATCAATGGCCAGGTAGGCCGTCTGCAGAACAGGGGCGACAGAAACTCTCTTCGGCCTTCAGCTCGGAAAAAATTAACTTCGCATCCGGAAGCTTTGAACGCGGAGCAACACTTTTCGCTGCCACCTTCAAACCATCCGCATCAAGCATCTGCGACGTCTGGTACAATACTTGGACCATGACTTTGCGAATGGTCTGTCGTGGCCCTGCCAAGAATTTGGAAATATTGCCGATCCACAGCCTCATGTCGACCAGCGGGTGCCTCTTGGACGTCGTGTCTAAGGCGAAGTAGGTCATGCAGCGAGCGAACGTCGTCCCGCTGCGCAACCCCTGGATCACGCTCCTCGTCGGCTGGAAAGCCTCCGGGACACAATCTCGGGAGGCCAAGGTGTGAGCAGCGAGACAAAGTTGAAGTTCTAGATGCAGCGCTGCTGATGGAATGCCTAAGGCGGGGGCCTTGGTGGCCAATCTTATCCAACATGTACTGTCGTAAGAACTCTGAATGTCGACCAATGCGTTGGCGAAGTCGATGCCGAGAAGACCGTGCACCTCGTCTCCTAGGGTTCTGGTGAACCCTTCACGGAGCGCGGCGTTGTCTGAGACTGCAGCATCCCAGAAAAGGTTGCAAGTCTGCGCACCAATCCACGGCTCTCTCGACTTCGACCGCGCTCGAGGGATCATGCCCACGAGTCCAATAATGCGATCTCTTCCTGATTGTTCTCCAGCATGCGGCCGATGGTCAGAAGTAGCTGCCATGGCCAAGTCAGACAAGCTTCGGCATCATCCAACAGTTGTGCCGACTCGTCCAATCCCTCAGGAGGTAGCCGTTCGATATATAATGGGGATAATCGGTCCACCCCTTGGCCCGCTCGGGGCCTCATGGAGTGGGCCGCCTCACGGAACATGTCCCCCGACAGAGGTGGGAGGGCCTGCGGCTCAGCCTCGGCTCGCACCTCGTCCAGGACCTGGAAGAGCCTCTGCCCGTCGAAGCTGGTGCCGCTGCTCCATAACTCATGCCAACGGGTGACCTTCCGATCGATGATGGCCGCAGGGTGATGCACCACCTCGCCTTTGAGCACGAGTTCCTCCGCCGGAGGTGGCAGCGATTTGATGGACTTACGCATGATCGGCAATGCTGCCTCTGATCCCATCCACATGCGAAGCTCCTGCACCGACCTCGCAATGCCTTCCCTCGATCCCTATTGGTGGCCCGAGCAGCTTTGTCGATCATGGCCTTGCGCTGCGAGATGGGGACCTCCATCGGCCTCGCTAGCAGGCTCATCCAGGCCTGCCACTCCCACTTCTCTTAAATAGAGAGATGTGCCGTCGTCGGGTAGTCCGTGCGTGGTGAGGCGACCGCATGCTTCCACAACTGCGGCATATTGCTTGGCCCCGTTCTGGCGCTCAATGTGCTTGAGCGCCCTCTCGAGAATGGTAGTGACACGACCCCACCACGACGTAGCCTGGTCCATCATCGGCACCACGCGAGACTTCTCAGGCATATGCACTTCACGTACAACAGAAGATGGCCCGTCTCCTCTGCGAGGGCCTCGCGTGTCCTGTCCATGGTGACTCTCGATACTCAACTCAACTGCCGACGCCCATGCTGCATATCTCCCGCTGAGAACATCGATGTGCTGCGCTCCCGCGCGGAAGGCAAGGGCGTCTCTGACCACTGGCCAGGCGCAGGGGGCTGAAACGAAGCCAACATCTGAACGATGCTTGAGCCAAATGGCTACGGAGGAGGAGAGGGGGAGGAGGCGAGAGGCAGGGGAGAGGCAGCAAGGGGATCAGCTGGATCCGCATTGCTGTATAACCACCAGCCGCTGGCAAGCGAGACGACTGATCTGGGCGCCTGGAACAGAACAAGGACGCACACACACAGCAGTGCTACGAAACATAATGGCTGTTTTCCGCCACGGCACGACAGAGGCAACTCGCTCGGGCGCTGGCGTTGCCGGGGGCGCTCGGCAGACTAATTGTCCGGGTGCCAAGGAAGGGGGAAAGAGCAGGGAGACGCGGCCGCGGAGGGCAGGAGAGGGGAGGGCGCCAACCGCGTACAGAATTTCAGGATGAGCGCGCCGGTGCGGCCAGCCGAACTTGGGATGCTGAGCCTGATCCGAAGACGCATAAGACCTCTCAGGGTGCGCGAGGGCTTCTGAGAAGCCCTACCGCCTTCTGAAAAGGCCTTCCCCTTCTCACACTCCCCCCCCTCGCTCGTCGCCCAAACAATAACAGCACAACATAGACCTACTCATTCGAGCAAAAGATCGACTACATAATTGGATTGCCCCAGAACTCATTTGTTCGTCGAAGCCGTGAGAGGTTCGTAGAGTGTTCGTCGAGCTACGAACATTCTGTGCATGAGTCGACGAGAAAGTCAATTTTGGGGTACATCAGTTCTGTAGTCGATCCCCAGACCCCCGACGTCGTGTTTTTTTTCAACGTCCACCCCCAAAGTTCTGGACCCTCTCCCCAGGACCGGTTTTTCATCCTGAATCGTTTTTTGACGGCTCCGAGGCCCGGTCAGGGCCAGGTGCGATTTATTCTAAGCGCGAGGGGGTCTGGGCCCCCTACTCTTAGGTCGGGCATGTCCCCCTACAGGCGGATTTTGGGCGAACCATTAAAAAACACAAGAAATACTAGAAACATCGTCCCCCGACTACTATTTGACTGTCTTTGAGTTTTCCCCCTGTAGAGGCACAGGCCCGACTTAAGCCTGCTCGAGTCCTGTCAGCTCTGCGCAGACACTCGGGTGCGGTGCCGGGCCCCCTCCCTGCGCTCCTCCTGGAGGCGCTGGCAGGGGGCTGCGTGCGCCGACCCGGGATAAGAGGTTTCCACGCGGCGCCTCGGAGGTTCTCGCGCGCATGCAAAGAACAAAAGGAGAAGAGCGGACTCAGATTAGGTCGGGCAGGTCCTCGTACAGGGCGGTTTTTGGACGAAGGCTAGAAAGTGCTCGGAAACTGCTCGAAGATAGTCAACACGTACTCAAAACATCGTCCCCCGACTTGTTTGTGATTATGTTTGAATGTTCCTCCTGTAGAGGGACAGGCCCGACTTGAAGCCAACACCATATTCTTGGAGCATAAAGCCGACGTGTTAAAGCAATGCGGTCTCGGCCAGAACTGTTCTAAGAGCATTTTGTGTAATCCACACGAGTTTCTTGGAACATTCTTCGGTGGGCTGAAGCAGGCGAGGCACAAGCACGAATTGCCGAGAAGGCGGCCCGCCCGGTCCTCGAGCGCCTTCCTACGGCGCTGGGCCACCTCGTCCGAGCAGCCATCCGCTTTGAAGAACTCCTCCTGCGTTGGGGGAGGGATTGGGAGGAAGAGGACGAGTGAGAGCCGGAGTGAGGAGGCGGACTGGGACTGAGGAGGAAGAGGCGTGAGCAGGAGCAGGAGGATCAGGAGGAGGAGGAGGAAGAGGACGAAGAAGAGGAGGAGCAGGACCAGACAAAACAACACGGTGAGGGGATTGGAACAAGAACCCTTGGACAAGGAATCCAAGGTCTGAAAGCTGGTGGAACGCCCATTGAGACATGACCGTGGGTATCACCGCCGCCCTGGTTGGCGTATCCGCGGCCTCGCGAACCGGGCCCCTGAGAAGCGACCGCGCGGATACGGGGCGCTTTCTCGCGGATGTCATATCCTCGGGTTCATTTGCGCCAGATGAAGAGATGCATGCCTGGAACGGCATTGAACATCCAAACTCCTGTTCTGTAACCGCTTGCGCCAATTCGGAATCGCATCTAGGCAGGTGTGTCCGCTAAACGCTCACGTGATGCTACCGCTCTGATGTTAAGTCGGCAGCGTCCAAAATTCGACGGAGACATGACGCGACCTGAGAGAGTTAATCCTTGCCTCGCGCCTCGAGCAGCACGCGCAAGAGATCGTGCTGCACAGCAGCGGAGCGCTAGAGCTCGCAGACGAGCTCTGGATGAGAGGCGGGCACAGCGTGGTCCGCCAAAAAAAAAAGGAGGAGGAGCGAGAGGAGAGGAGAGAGACCGCTTCTAGAAGAAGAAGAAGAAGTATAATAATAATAATAATAATAATATAGTAATAATACTACTACTAATAATAATAATAATAATAATAATATTAATAATATTAATAATATTATTATTAATATTAATGACAATAATAATAATGTTAATAATAATAATAATAATAATAATAATAATAATACTAATAATAATAATAAAAAAAAAATAAAAATAATAAACGCCATAAACATAAACTGCGCTGAACCCCCCTCCCTGGCGCGCGGAGCGAGCCAGGGGCGGCACCCGAGGCGCCGCCGGGGGGGGCACGGCGCTGATCTGAGAAATCCGCGCGGAGCGCCAACAATTGCTTATGGCGCTTTTTCTTCTTCGAGCTTTGGCCGGATCCGCGTTCCGTCCCGTCCGCGGCGGGCCGGCGCGCGGCGCCGCCGCGGCGGTCCCGCCGCGACGCCCTGCGGCGGGCCGGTGCGCGGTGCAACGGAGCAGCGGCTCCGCCGCCGCGGGAGGAGGAGGAGGAGGAGGAGGAGGAGGAGGGAGCTGGAGGAGGAGGAAGAGGAAGAGGGAGGAGCTGGAGGAGGAGGAGGGGAGGAGGAGGGGGGAGGAGGAGAAGGAGGGGGAGGAGGAGGAGGAGCTGGAGGAGGAGGAGGAAAAGGAAGAGGAGGAGCTGGAGGAGGAGGAGGAGGAGGAGGGGGAGGAGGAGGAGGGGGAGGAGGGGGGGGGGGAGGGGAAGGGGGAGGAGGAGGAGGGGGAGGAGGAGGAGGGGGAGGAGGAGAAGGAGGGGGGGGCTCCAAAAATGGCGCCCGGCTCTGCCGCTCCGTGGGCGCAGGCCCTCGGCGATGCCCTGCCGGGGAGCACGTCCGCGGAGCGGCCCTCCGCGGGCCTGCTGCGGGGGCTTCGGGCGCGAGCCTCGGGGGGCCACGGCTGCGAAGGCTCCCCAAGGTGGCATTCGGCCCTGCCGCTCTCCGTGCCCCGGCCGGGGAGAGCACGCCTGCGTGGCGGGCCGCCACGGGCTGGTCGCGGGCTTGGCTGCATTGGGGCGCAGCGCGCAACCCCTCGCGTGTTGACACGACACGAAGCTCAACAATTAGGCTGAGAACGTGGATCTGGCGCGATCCGAGTTCGCCAGAACGCGGGACAACGCGTGCCGAGCCAACACGCAATGTGTTCACACGGACGCTTTGAACACGGAACGTGTTGCGATTCAAAACGGGCGTATCAAGGCAACTAAGCTGCTAAACCAGCCTCCGCGGGCTCGTCGCGAGCCTCGGTCGCGAGCCTCGATGGACCACGGCTTCGAAGGTGAGAATCAGATGGCGTTCGCAGAGGGCCGCTGCTGCGAAGATGAGAAGACCCTGCGTTCGCAACGCATCGGGAAATGGATCGATGTGAGACTCCGGAGAGCACGAAATGGGGTCGCACTTATTCGGCCCTGGCTGCTGATGCTAAAGCATCAGGCTTCGACCGAAAAACGGAGGTGTGTAGGTGGGTGGGTTTCTTAAGAACTTTCCAAGGTTACCCGTACCGACACACATGCCACACATGTGATCACAACACAGTCAAAGTACAAGCGTATCAATTACACAGCAGCCATGTTGCGTTGAAGTCGGCTAGACCATCCCCATCCCGTGCATTTCAACATTAATATCCTGACGAGAGAGCATCACTCGCCGCGCCCACGGCGCAGCCCGTCGAATCCCACACGCCCTGCACATGGGCGGAGACTGGAACCGACGCTAGAGAGCACAGAAACCTCTACCAGCAACAGTGCTCTGTACCAAAGCGCCTGTACTGCTCACGGTCAACTGCATGTTTGTGTGCATCGGTGAAACAGCAAGCCTGATAAGCCACTCAACAGCAAGCACCGTAACCACTACGAACAGGACATCAAAAGAGGCTGGAAAGCCGGAATACCGATACTGCGGCCAAGATGCCTCAAGATGACCACTACGCATGATCTGTCAGCGGACCGTTGCAGGCATCCGACCAGTAAGACAAACCAGTCTGGCTACCAGGTGGCCTAGAGCGTTTCCTCTTCCAACTTTCAGATACACCACTGTTCCCTCTTGATAAACAACCCCTCCTTCACACGACCGGCAGCAAACCTGATCCCTTGCCACCCCCCCCCCACCATCCCTGTTACAGAACAACACACATCGTTGTCAACGTGGACACCACACAGTGTGTTTCTAGCAACCTATGTTGTGCAATATACGTGGGGCAAACTATGCGGTGCAATCTACGTGGTACACTTTATGTGGTGCAGTGCTTGTGGCGCGAAATCCGGGTGGTGCAGCTCTCGTGGTCCAGTATAGGTTGTACAACGTATGTGTTGCAATCTACGTTGTGCAATCTACGTGGTGCAATCTGTGTGGTGGAAGATGTTGTGCAATCCATGTGGTGCAATTTACGTGGTGCCATTATGTGGTGCGCACAATATATGTTGCAACCGACGTTGTGCACCCTGTGTGGTGGAATGTGTGGTGTGTATCTATGTGGTGCAGCCTGTGTGGTGCAATTTTTTTCACACACGAGTTGACACATCCCACGCTGTTGCATATATCCTACCCACCCACCCGCAACTTGGTTTGCAAAACCCATAGGGTGGCGATTGCGGTGCATGCGTGGCGTTGGCTGGCGCATTTCTGCGGCCGCGCCAACCCTAGCGCGCGCGCAGCGGCCAGCTAGTTTGGCCCCGCTGGCGCGGCCGCGGTGGCGCTGACCGCTAGGCGCATCCCAACGGGCACTTCACCGCGAGTCGGCGATTTGGGCGGGCGCGTGTCATGGCAACGCCGACTACAATAACGCGCCGATGATGGCGGCGATGCTGGTGATGATATCCGCACCGGCGAAGGCGCGGCCAGTTCGGGCGACGATGCTGGTCACGCCGACGACGATGACGGCGTCCTCGCGTCGGTGATGAAAGTCTTGGAAAGAGTTCGACATGCGCGCGCGGCCGACGCGCGAGAGTGGCCAGCATTGTTTTATTTGACACGGGCCGTGCCCCCCCAGCACGCGTGCAAGGGCGTGCGAATGATGTCGGCATGCGGCGCCAGAGGCCCGCCTGGCAAAACTCCATGAACATGTTGGGGAAACTATGGTTTTTTTTTACAATTCGCAAAGACGCGCGCGAAAACTTTGAAAACAGATGTTGCGAAACCGTGCGTGTTCTTTTAGAATGTTTCCTGGACGCTCAATTTTGAAATCGTTGCGAACCCGAAGATTTTTGAAGAATTTCGGCACGCGCGCGCGGCGACGCGCGCGCGTGCGTTCCGCCGTTTTTTTTGTTGCAACAGATTTTCGCGACGACGCGCGCGCAAGGGTGTTCGAACGATTTCGACATGCGCGCGCGACGCCCGTTTGGTAGTGTGCCCTGTAAGCGTTGAAAAACATGGCTTCCTTAAACCATCGCAAGAGCGCGCATATGTTTGTTGGGGGTTTTTGAAAATCGTGTTTATATGTTGTTTGGGCACTCGTTTTTGACATGCTTCTGGCGCCGAAGGGTTTCTGATGGATTCCAGAATGCGCGCGCGACGACGCGCTCGTGTGCACTTCGCCCCGTTCTTTGCAAGGAACTACTTTTTGAAAATTTATGATTCAGGATTAAACTAGGTACGCGCAAATATCTTTTCGGACATATCGGCGGGGGGTTCGAGTCCGCCTCGGCTGGGATGGTACGAACTCTTATTTGGGATGGACAATGGGGCAGAACCACATGTAAGTTGTACTACGAAAAAGTGGATCGATAAAGCCATGGGGGGGTAGTGGTGGATCCGGATTCTAACTTAGAGCGGAAAATTGATTTTACCAAACGAGTTGACACATCCCATGCCCTTGCAAACATCCCACCCACCCACCCGCAACTTGGTTTGCAAAACCCATGCGGTGGCGATTGCGATGCATGCGTGGCGTTGGCTGGTGCATCTCTGCGGCCGCGCCAAACGTAGCGCGCGCAGCGGCCAGCTGGTTTGGCGCCACCGACGCGGCCGCGGTGGCGCTGACCGCTGGGCGCATCCCAGCGGGCACTTCACTGCGAGTCGGTACATGGGCGGGCGCGGTATCATGGCAACGTCGACAACGGTAGACACAGTGATGATGGCGGCGATGCTGGTGACGATGTCCGCACCGACGAAGGCGCGGCCAGTTCGGGCGCCGATGCTGGTCACGCCGACGACGATGACGGCGTCCTCGCGTCGGTGATGAAGGTTTTGAAAAAAAAGGGTTCGACATGCGCGCGCGGCCGACGCGCGAATGGCCCACATGGTGTTATTGGGCACGGACTGTGCCCCCCCAGCGCGCGCGCAAGGGCGAGCGAATGATGTCGGCATGCGGCGCCAAAGGTCCGTTTGGCAGAACGCAATGCAAATGTTTAAGCACCCATGGTTTTCTTAAGAATGCGCAAGAGCGCGAGCGCAAGCTTTTTCGAAAACTGATGTTGCGAAATCATTTGTCTTGTATGTTTGTTTGGACACTCGGTTTTGAAATCGTTGCGAGGCCGTGGGCTTTTGACTGATTTCGAGAAGCGCGACGACGCGAGCGCGTGCACTTCGCCGCTTTCAGCTGCAGAAGATTTTCGCGACGGCGCGTGCGCAAGGGCATTCGAAAAAAATCGGCATGCGCGCGCGAAGCCCGTTTGGTAGCATTTTCTGAAGCTTTTGAACAACCTGTGGTGTTTTTGAGAATTCGCAAAAACGCGCGCGCACGTTTCTCGTTGTGCTTGGAAATCCGTCTTGCGAAATTTGTTTATATTGAAAACGGTTTTTGGACACTCGATTTTGCGATTTCGAAATCCTGACGGAACCATTCATGTTTGAAGGATTTCGGCATGCGCGCGCGACGACGCGCGCCTGCGCAATTCGTTCCATCTTTAGCAAGGGATTCTTGAATATTTATGATATTTGATAAACGAATGCGCGCGCATAGTGTTTGTTCCAAAAGATGACGGGGGGCGCGATACCGGCCTGGCTGCTGGGATGGTATGAGTTCGTATTTCGGATGGACGATGGGGCGGACACGGATGCAAGTTGCAATACGAGCAAGGGGTGCCGATCGTCCAGGGGGGGGTCAGACTCTAATTCTCTTTTCAAAAAGGAGAACACACGTTGTGAACTCCAGGCGACGACGGGGCGGCGACGGTGACAACATGACCGCCAGACCGGTAGTCAGGCCCAGGCGACGGGCGGCCACGACGGCGGCAACATAGCCGCTGGAGCGGCACACAAACCCAGGCACACAAACCCAGACGACGGGCGGCGACGAGGCGGCGACGGGGCGGCAACTTCGGCAGCGTAGCCGCCAGAGCGACAGGCAGGTCCAGTTCCTAAGAGCAGCAACGAGAGCCCCTGCGTGCAAGCATTGCTGGGGTACGATAATACTGTGCCTTCAAGTCTGGAGCATGCGCGGGCGCCCCGCGGCCACTTTGCAATGGTTTTTGAAAATGGCGGCGTGGAGATCCTCATACTGCCTGCTGCGGGAAACCAACCATCCCTGGCCAAAAAACAACACAAGATACACTTTGCCTCCGGATCTGCAGCGTGCGCGAGCGCCCCACGACCACTTTGCAGTTGTTTTGACAAGGGGCTGCCGGTGTGGGGTGGCTCCTAATGCTTGCTGCGCGCAGGCTGGCCATCCATGTCAAAAATGCACTACGCCTCCAGATCTGGAGCATACGCGGACGCCCCACGACCACTTTGCATTGGTGCTTGACAAGGACGGCCTGGGGGCCGTCATAATGCTTGCTGCGCGCGAACCAACCATCCATGTCAAAAAAGTATGCAACATACACTTTGCCTCCCAACCTGGAGCATGCGCGGGCGCCCCGCGACCACGACCACTTTGCATTAGCGTTTGGCAGTCACATGGGTTTCTGGGACAGCCTGTCAGTTTGCCGTCGCCCTTGCCGAATAATGCGCCATCGCCGAGGCTTCTGGGGGCGTCGCAATCGTCGACGCGAAGTCGCTCTTCTATACGCTCCGCAAGAATGCCATCGAAATGGCCTTCGTCTGGGACCGAGGATCGCCGAGGTCACGACTGTCCGCTTGCTCCTCACTGCAAGATGCCTGCCGACTGCATGACGAAGATCGACCCAGCACGAGGAAACTACGCCCGTGCCGACATGATGCACAGGGGGATCCTGGCACAAAGGGGCGAGTCCGGACCCATTGAAGAGCGCTCGCTCAACAAATCTCTGAAATCACGCACTCGGACGGCGTTCCGTCGAACCCTGCAGCAGGAGTCATCCGTGGATCTCTCGGCCGAGGCTGAAGCTAAGGAAGCCGAGGAGGCAGAGGAGGAGGCGGAGGAGGAGCCGGAGGAGGCATAGGAGGCAGAGGAGGAGGAGGAGGAGAAGGAGGAGGAGGAGGAGGAGGAGGAGGAGGAGGAGGAGGAGAAGGGGGGGCGTCTGCCCCCGTCCTCCTCGATCGTGTACTTGGGGATGATCTGCGAGGCAAACTTGAAAGTCAGCGCGAGAGGGTAGGTCGCGGCGATGGTCAGGACCCGCTTGAAGATGATGGGCGCGCACCGGATCATGCCCAACCTTACGCGTTCGGTCGGAAGAGGTAGGCAGAAGCATGAAGTAGGAATGCGTAGATTGGGCTTCCGCCCGCCTCCTTAAGAGGAGGGAAGAGTGAAGACCACTCGACTCTTCAAATAGGAAGGCACTTAAAGTAGATTGGAATCTGGGAATCCAGAAATACCTACTTTCAACGACCGATGGGTATGTGTTCGGCTGCTGCGTCCTCTACAGGCGCCCCGGCGCATCGCGCCCCGGGCCTAGACAACCTGATGTGCACTCCTCCCCATCCTCCTCGTCTTTCTCCTCCTTCTCCTTCTCTTCCTCCTCCTTCTCTTCCTCCCCTGCCCGCCTTCCCCCCCCCCTTGTGCCCGCCCCTCATCCCCGTCCACCTCCGCTCCCACTCCACATTTTGCCCAGGTACTTTCGTTTACAGGCTCGGGGGGGTTCCCCTCTTCTGGCGCCAACATGAACACCTATGCCGATTTGCAACAAATACTGTGTGGGTGATGTGCATCTTCGCAAGATGTGCGATGTGCATCTGCACAATATCAGCAATCACCGCACGTGCCGTGATTCAATTGCGACTGCTGAGTATGGATCACAATGTGTGTGTGGAGCGTGCAAGTCATGATTAGAGTGCGCACAAACACCGCGCGTGAAAAGTACTCGCGTTGTCGTGCACGAGGTGGCGAAGCTCAATGTATTTGGATCGTGCGCGCTCACGCATCCGAGCGAGCGCAGAACCCACAGAGATTCGGAACGTGCCCCAAACGGTGCCCAACCAGGCCCCTCAAGCGTAACATCATCCCTATCCATGCGGAAACCAAAGAGCATGTGAATACCCCGAGCGAGGGCGGCCCCAACCCGCGCCAAACCGGGCCAATTGCAAGGGCCGCTGAAGCGACAGTTGTCTGCAACGGAGCCAGCAATGGCAACGCGTGAGGAGCCTGGCGCCCCCCCCCGCCCAAACCACGAGAACACTTGAATGTGTGACGAGCTCTCAAGTGAAACCGATTCCAAACCAGGCCAAATCGATTGCCGAACCAAGCAAGCTGTGAGGACCTCTCAGGCGGGGCGCGCCGCCCACGAAAGGCACACCAAATGACACCAACCCAAACCATAGGCCAAACCAAACAAATTTGACGCCCTTCCTAGCAGAACCGGCCATTCCAGACCCCATGCAACGCTCTAACTGTCGGGCGGTTGGTAATGGGGGGTGACCTGCATGGAGGGTGATGAGGAAGGCTCTAAAGAGGCCCTTTACGCTCCTTTTTGGAGCCAGCGGGGCCCCAAAAGGGGCCCGAAAGGGCCTTTGAAGGGTTTCTCTTCACAAAAGGCGGGGCAAACAGGCCCGCTGGGGACGTCCCCGCGACCGCCCTGGGGCTCCGCATTCAGGGGCAGATTCCTGCGCACCCCCTCTCGGCGTGAGTCCACGCATGCCACGCCATGCGTCCATAGCGTGGGTAGACTGCGCTCAGGGACCACCCCCTGCGCACCCTCTCTGGGTCGCGAAAGTTCTACGCCTGACACGCACTGCGAACTTCAGTTGATCGAGACCGCTCTCAGGGACAACTCCATGCACACCCTCACTGGTGTCGAGAAAACGCCGCGCCAGCCTTGCCCTGCGACCTTGGCGTGGACAGAGACCGCATTTGGGGACCATCACTTGCGCACCCCCTCTGGTGCCAAGAAGGTTTCAGAAGGGGGCTCCGAGATGGCCCCAGGTGCTTTAAGATGGCCTCTAAGATGGTGCAAGATGGTACAAGCTGTCTCAAGATGGCCTCCAATATTCCTCCATGTAGCCCCGCGATGGCCCCAAGACGGGTCCAACTGGCTGCGGAGACTCCCAAGGAGACCCTCAAGAAACCAGAATCCTGCCACAGCCTGCAGAAAATCAATGACTTCGGCATCCTCGCCCTTCGCTTCCGATAGGCACCCGGCGCCTCAGTATGGCTCCAAGATGACCTCAGCGGGCCCCAAGAGGTGCCCGAGATGGTCCCGAGACGGCCCCAAACCCGTTCCAAAAACGCCCCAAGAGGGCACCGAGAGGCGACTTTGGGGGCCCTGGAGGGGCGGCCCTACTTAAGGACCCCCCCCTCGTCGATCGGTGTCCTCCAAGATGGTCCCAATGATGCCTCGAACGCTACAGGAAGGCACCAAGAGGGCCCCAAGATGGCGCAACGAGGCGCGTGCGTGCGTGTGTATATGGAGTTCAGATGCGTTTGCCAGTGCAAGTTTGCACGCATTTGCCAATGCATGCGCGTGCGTGCGTGTGTCTACATACTTTCATGTGAATACAAATATACAGATGTGTTTATATCAGTCGTCGCATCGTTCGGTCTCCGTGGAATATTTCGCAGGGGGACAGTCAGCATATTTATCTATATATATACACATGTAAATATATATGTATGTATGTATGTATGTATGTATGTATGCATGTATGTGTGTATGAATGCATTTATGTATTTAGGTATGTATGTATGTATGTATGTATGTATGTATGTATGGATGCATGCATGCATGCATGCATGCATGCATGCATGCATGTATGTATGTATGTATGTATGTATGTATGTATAAATGCATGCATGTATGTATGTATGCATGCATGAATGCATGTACGTACGTACGTACGTACGTATGTATGTATGTATGTATGTATGTATGTATATATGTATGTACATATATGTGTGTATGTCTGTCTGTCTGTCTGTCTGTCTGTCTGTCTGTCTGTCTGTCTGTCTGTCTGTCTGTCTGTCTGTATGTATGTATGTATGTATGTATGTATGTATGTATGTATGTATGTATGCGTGTGTGTATGTGTGTATGTGTGTATGCATGTATGTATGTATGTATGCATGCATGCATGTATGTATGTATGTATGTATGTGTGTGTATGTATGTATGTATGTATGTATGTATGTAAGTATGTATGTATGTATGTATGTATGTATGTATGTCTGTATGTCCTGTGACGGGCGTCGGCCACACACGCACTCAGTTTTAGAAACACCAGAGGCCCTCAGGGCGTCGGTGGCTCAGGGAGCTCTCTCTTTCAACCCCCTCCTTCCCCTCTGGGGAAGGCGAGGGGCTTACCCCTCCCCCTGTATCCCCTCTCCTCGGTCTGGACTGGGGCGCCGCGAGCGGTCCAACGTAGCCCACCACTATCGATCCACATCTAACATGACACAATGTACAGTAGTCCAAGACGGCCAACGTAGTCCAACGTAGTCCAACATCTCTCGGTCCAACGTAGTCCAACGTAGCCAAGACGGGATCTAACATGACACAATGTACAGTCAAGCTGGCTTCGAACATGCCTTCAAGAGGTTCCAAGATCGCTCCGAGAAGGCTCCAAGCGGCCACGGACTGCGCCGTGGAGACCTCCGAGGCGCCAACACGTCTGGAGAGAAAGAGGGCGAGGGGCTTCAGGATGCTCGTAATGCGAAGTGCCACATGTTACGAGCTTGCGCTCGGAAGGCTTATCCAATCGTGAGATCCGACGTTGCGAACAAATGCAACATCGCGAGAAATCACGACCATAACGCTGGACCCCATCTTTCTGCACCAATCTTCGAGCTGGATCGATCTGTGAGGGGCCCGAAACCAGGCGAAACGTCCCGTTGTGAGGAAAATGCAACGCCCGGATATCAAGGAAGCCCTTCCCTTCGCATAGGAGTCTATCGAGTGCCTCCTTGGGAGTCGGCGGCATGGCGCAAGCCTCCTAGAAACAGGGACTTGCCATCCCTAGGACGTCCATTCCCCGTGCCGTTTCCGTCTTCGTGCGCTCATGTTTCGCAAGATGATCCAGGATGCTCCTGGATGTTCTGCGCCGGGACACAGTGCATACGTCCGAAAGATGCCACGAGGGAGGAGGGGAGGACCCCGGCAGGGCCGCGGGGAGCTCAAGGGAGCCCCCAGGAGAGCGAGTGGGCGCAAGCAGGGATGGGAATGTAGCAACACTCGCGCGCAGCAATGATTTTCAATTAGCTCCGGCAGCGTCACGCTGTCTGCACCCTTGTTCCATGAGCGTGTTCGAGCCTTGCGCCGACGGATGACTGCATGTGCAAATCAGGCTCTGGTGCCGAGACAGATACAACACATCCAACAAATACAACACACAATATATACAACCTACACATCATACACACCAAATACATCATATGGAACATCTACCACCTGTGCAACACACACAGCATGTACTACACATGCAGCACATACAACATATACAACATATACCACATATACAACACATACAACATATCCAGCACATACAACGGATACAACATATACAGCACGATCTGAAGAGGTCCATGTATCCGACGGCACATCTCTCCAGCCTTGGCGTTTTCCGTCGCAACAGCGGATGACACAACGTGTAACAAGGACTGGTGGCAAGGACGCGAAACCCTTGGAGGCCGAAATTGGGATCTTGTTGGGCGGCACGGGCTGACAGCCAAACCGTATATCAAGGACGGGTGGTAAGGAAGCAAGACCTTTGGTTGCCGAAGTTGGGATCTTGTTGGGCGGCACGGTATCCGATATTGGTTCTTGTTGGGCGGAACGGTCGAATCTCTTCAGCCTGGGCTTTCTCCAGGGGAGCAGCGGATGACATACAGCCAACACGTGTATCAAGGACGGGTGGTAAGGACGCCTTTGGAGGCCGAAGTTGGGATCTTGTTGGGCGGCACGTTATGATCTCTTCAGCCTGGGCGTTCCCCAAGGGAACAACGGATGACACACAATCAAAACGTGTATCAAGGACGGGTTGTGACAAGGGTCTAGATTTTCACGAATAGGTTTAGCGTGATGTTTCATCCAGGGGATCTTTGACAGAGTGCGCTTGTGTCCGTACCTGTGGCTCAAGGCAAAACATTCGTTTGCTCCTGCTGCTGCCACAGTTGGTAGCGGAGCGGGGTCGGGCCCGTGGCCATGGGCGGGAGCGCGCAGCTGTAGCGGCTGCGGCCTACCCGCTTGCGAGCCTCGGGCCGGCTCCGCTCTGTACGCTGAGCGGCGTG